TATTGAAAAGGAATTCTATCTGCTATAGTTTAGATGAGAACGCTTTGTAACAAAATGACCATGATTCAAGTGAATCAGAGTTTGTAATTTATCTGCAACACTAATAATTATCATGTTCGGGAAAAAGCTTATAATCCGCTTCATATAAGTGAATTTCATGTGTTGTAGTACGAAACAGTACTCTTTGCTGATGTCTACAACAGTTAGATAGCGTGAGCGAAGACACGGCGAAAAGTTTCGATTCTAATGTGGTTTTCTGATATATGTATATATATACATATATATATATTATGTATATATATATATATATATATATATATATATATATATATATCATCGGCTCCCAGATTCGCGTGGAGGTGGAGTCTTGCCAACTCACCGCGTGGCGGTTTTTGCTAGCGAGAGATTACGAAAAGCAATGCTATGACGTGGAGGTTTAGCAAGTTTACATGTGTTATCAGGCAAAGTCTGCAATACACCTCCACACGAATCTGGGAGCCGATCATAACTATAATAGAGTATCAGACATTAGGCAAAAAACATTCAGTAAGAAGGCATGTACAATAATTCCATATGGAAACAAATCTCTCAGTAAAGTTCAGCAATGAGATCTTTAATAGTTGAGCTCTTGAAAGGGAAAAACAGCAATACGAATCAAGTTTTCTCCAATCACGTTGTAGATTAGGAGAACAAAATTACTGATTTTGAGCCATTGGCTTAAGCCATGATTCCTAAAAGGTCGAGTGGTTAGGAATGTTCTGACGATGTATGAAGTAAAAAGGAAGATGAGAAAGCATTACCTCTGTCTAATTAGCCATAGGAATTTAGAGCACCGCTTTGATCACAATGTTTCTTACTCTCGTGCCATTTTTGAGCACTTTTACACCTTCTCTTGTTCGCGCCCTTGATAGGGCAACATAGAGCTGCCCATGAGAAAAGACTTCAGTTCCGAGGTGAATTCCTACATTCGATAGACTCTGGCCTTGAGCCTTGTTGATGGTCATAGCAAAAGCAAGTCGAAGGGGAAATTGCCGTCGCCGAACTCGAACAGGAACGCCTTTATCAGTAAAGTTGTCTATCCTTGGTATAGGGACAAACTGACCTCTTCGTTCTCCAGATGCAAACTGACAACCAAGCACGTAATGTCCAAGATGAGTCACTATCAAGCGGGTTCCGTTACATAACCCCTTCTTGACATCCAAATTGCAAAGCAACATCACTATCGCACCCTTCTTCAGTCGCAAATTGTGAGGAGGTAGTCGTGCAGGTGATAGACTATTTAAAAACTCTGTGCTGTATTCGCTGTACCCCTCGCTTGTTACCTCATCCACACTTTTGAACTCTTTCGCTTCACCTGGAAGTCTGTTCAGTGCGTCCTCATTAATGCGATTGACATCGATGTTCCTCGGTGCCAGGATCGCACGGTCACTGAGAACTTCAATGTTAGTAATCTGATTTCCAAAAATTTCGTCAATGAGGTCGCCATTAGAGACGATATCCTGTGGCAGTTCTATGCAGCCTTCCGCATCTTCTTCTGCTTCCCCGTCCCCAACGTTGATTAGGAACTCGCACCATGGTAGATCGGATTCACCCGTCCTCATATTCAGTGATAGAGTATGCTTGCGAAAAGCACTCCAAGGTTTGCTATTCTTCACGCACATATCAACCATATCTGATTCAGTTCCACGTTCCGCTATAGGCAGGACTTGCCTAAAGTCACCCCCAAGGACCAACGTTTTTCCTCCAAATGGCAGCGTGTTGCACATCAAATCTTTAAATAGGAGATCTACTGCTTCCAAGGAATCCTTCGACACCATGCTAATCTCATCCCAAATGATCATATCAGCTTTCTTCAAAGGCAGTGCTTCTTTGGACTCCCGCCGGAGCATACATTCTCGATTTCCGGATTGTATGTTGAGCTTAAATGTCGAGCTGGCAGTTCTTCCCTCCGGCAGTAGACTGGCGGCAATTCCGGTCCAAGCCACACATACGATGGACTTGCGCTGACCTTTTAGAATGTAGTAGATAGTGTTGTAAAGAAAAGTCTTTCCGCTGCCACCCGGTCCATCAATAAAGTGCAGTTTGCAGCTACCGACATCGAATGATGTAAGGATGCTGTTAGCGGCAAGACGCTGTTCATCATTGAGGAGGTCAAACATCTGTGACCTCTTCCTGGCATAATGATCGTAATCAGTTTCGATAGCCTGCTCAAATGGGCGGGGCCGCGGAGGATGGATCCGTTGTGAAAGATCACATTGCAGGGTCTCCAGCTTGTCAAACATTTCGTAGTAAGCCAATACTACAGCATCGTCTGGTGTGGCACCTCTGTGCACAAAGTCTTCGGACATGTCAGATTTGAAGCGTTCGAAAAGATGTGTTGGGTCGCTGACTTCACAAAATGCGAGCATGTAACAGAACAACGCTCTCAACTCGGCCGGCATTTGAAAACATACCGCTTCTTCCAGGCAGCGTTCATAATGTTCGTCATCGTGGAGCAGTCCAAGAGCCCGCGCAGCTGTTGCGAACGTTGGATATAGGTGGTTATCCACGGTACGCAGATCTTCAAAAGATCTCATATTCTTTCGATGTAGGAGAATAATGCGCAAGCTGAACCTTTCCGTCTGCTTCGGAGTAGCCATGTACATGCGTCCAATTTGACGATTACCTCTTCCACGTATTTTCCATCTCCCAATTTGCTTAACAAATGTGAAATATTCCGGAAGTTGGTGGTAATAGAGGGTGCGCGGGTCGATCATTCCTGGCAGTAAGGAGTTTTCTAGTTCTAATTGCTCATACTCAGAATTGAGTTTGAACCATGCAGTGAGCGTTGTATCCTTACTGGCCCCTCTTTCCATAGCTTCTCTTTCTCCACCGGATGTAAAAGTAACGGTTTGAAAGTTAGGAAGATGGACCTGCAATCTGCACACTGTGTCAGACTTGAATTGGCACTCATACATAAAAATATGGTGCAAAGCTTCCGGAGAACATACGTAACGGGCATCGAGATGCGCCCGGATTTCGTCGGAGTTATCAGTTTGGTTGTTTTGCAGAAGACGTAAGGAAGCTCGATCAGGCCCTTTGTAGACATATTTATATAGATATTTCACTGCTTGAAAGTAACCGCATATCTCCAGATTTATATGTGCATTTAACAGCATCAAAAGGAAGCGGTTGTATGGTACAATATGCCTGTTGTCATAAGTTTCATTTCCCACTTGCACAGAGCTTCCGTCGTTTGGGCGCTTATACCTTGGATACCCGTCGGTGTTAATGGCTGTCTCTTCCCTGTATTCCTTGGGGAAGTTTTTAGAACACTTTCCATTGATCATACAGGGAGCCGTTGAACTTGTCGCTCCACAGCGTCTGTGCAGCATGTTGCTAACGACGATGTTGAACAGTCTTGGATTCGCAGCTGCATCCGGTGAATAAGCCTGTACTGCGGCGTCAATCTGGTCAGCGTTCCGAGGCTTTGAATCGGCTGCCATAATTAGCAGCATGTGACAGTGAGGAAGACCACGCTTTTGCCACTCCACTACTCCAACGTACGCTGCTACGCGACCCAAAATGTTGTTTTTGAAAAGGTTTTCTCGTAGAATCTCTAATTTTCTGTGAAAAACACGTGCAACAATATCAGGTCGATCAGATGGTGTTTGCCCTGCATAAAGATTTTCTGAGATTTCTCTCCACCGCGGGTTGCACGTGAAGGTTAAAAAGTAGTCAGGCTTTCCATACCTAGCGACGATGGACATGGCATCCTGATATGATTGATGCATAGCCCGAGGACCTCCTTGAAAGGTGGCCGGGAGAATGACACGTTGTCCCGCAGGTTCGTGTGCGTCTTCGCTTGCTAGATGATCCATCAGCCCCTGATAGCTATCAATGCGGAGCTCTTTTTGATGTGTTCTTGTGTAATTGAGCCTGTTTTGCTCAATTTTCACATAGGCGTCCACTGCAAACTGTTGCAAAAGTTTGCTGGCATGATGTAGTGGATTGAAGGACGTGCGCACGGAGAATAGGTACGAATAAAATTCCCTTTGAGTAATTCTCGTCCGAGTTCGTGCACTTGCATTTTTTGTAAGATCCACATGCCATCCTAACCCTCCTCTAGGAAATAGAAGAGGGTAAGTTAAAGGGTCGCAACGACCATCTATATCCTGTATTGGTCGCAATCTTCCGTCTTTGTGGTGGACTGCCAAAGAGCGGGTTGCAGGTACATCGTTGTCTTCACCTACGAACACGACAGCTACTTCATTTGTGACAGGAATGTTGTAACGTCGACGGTCTAGAGAGCGGCTGTTATCAAACACCATCCTAATTTTTGGTGCTGCTCTTCGTTCTAAACTCGCAGCCCTTTCTTCTGCTGCAACTACGTCGCCCATCATTCTGAAGCATGCAGCATACTCATTATGAGCATGAAACCAAATGGTCAGTTCACGCATGATGAAGGGATCACATCCTTCATTGGCGGGGTTTCCAAGTCTTTCAGCAGTTGCATCATCCGTATCCAATATATACAATTGACCATACTGCCGTCGAGTGCCATGTTCGGGTACCAAGGGTCCAACAAAATGGTAAACCTGTCCGTGAATACGGTAACAATAAGGTCCATAGCCACGAGGTGAAACCACTTGTGCGCCCATCGAGGCCATAGCTAGGGCACTGTTATACGAACGGATGTGCTGACGAAAGTTCTTGCTCATTTCGTCGTTGCCAGTCAGTAGCGAGCGAATGATGTCAGGGAAGTCCGCGAAAAGGTCCAAACTAACATTGCCGAAGTTGCAACACAGATTAAATCTGCCATTCACTGGTGTAGCTTCGTCTTTAAAGAACAAAGCACCGCAGTTATTGCACGCCATGCAAAGGGGACCTAAGTAATTCTCTGTTGGTACAACCATTGTCGTGGCTATGCCCGGAGAAAAACTATCTCGCAGTGGCTGCCTTGACTGCTGATTCTGAATGCGAGTTTTGATCATCAAATAGTATAGTTTGTAATTGAGTACCTGAGCTTGATTGATTCGCGCCAAGTTTGCTCGCCGCCTCCTGGTATTAGCAGCAAATTGCTGACGACGCGACATGCTCTGCTGGTCAGTTTCTAATGCTATCCGTCTTCTTGCTCTTTCTGTATCTGCCCTTAAACGTTCGCTCCTTTGCGCTTCTGTCTCGAAACGTCTGCGTACAGCTTGAGCGGGGATTGAGTTCATCGCCCTCGTACCATGAACATCGCTAGTAACCTGAAATGAGCGTCAATATTAAGATTTTGATGCAGTAATGTTACTCTCATGTCTGCTTTTTGCTTGCTGGTTAGGAATAATCACTTCCTGAAGCGAATTTTGCAGAGATTTCAGAAAAGAGACTAATGGTTGCATTGACTAACTCTTCTGCTAAAAGCCTCCCGGCTATTAATGCAATTGAACTTTGCTAAGATCGCAGAAGGGCTTGCATACAATTGTGCAAAAAGCTTTGAAAGCTTGAACACATTACTTTTCAAGGACATACCTTCGGTAGATTAGATAGTCCAGTAGAAGTTGATAAAATAGTTGTTGAAGACCTTTCAAATGATGGGAACGTCAGCTTGCATGACATGTTTTCTGTTATCTGCAAACAGGCACATAATTTGTGATGTAAGGAGTTCGATGACCGGTGCGAGTCATCACTCAGAAACTGAATGTATTTTGTCAAAGAAAAATGCATAGAGTTGAATATGACGCACTTCATGTAATTCTCTAAAGCCTTTTATGTTGTTTACAGTTGAGACCATGCCGAATGTAGCACATGGATCTTGATTTTCTGCTTCTGGTCGTACCTAAACTGTGAACTTGTAGGTCTAGAAGAGATTGAACGAAAACTTTTCAGGTCATTCTCAAGAGGTTGCAGGGTTTCTAACCAAAATTGAGATCACCACATTTTCATGACTGACCGAACATGTTCCACATGGATGTAAGCTGTGCCCGCAGTCCTGTTCCTCTCTCATGAACTTCCGAAAACCCGCGAAATTGGAGGCATGCACATCCATATCACTGATACTTTCTTCCATGACCTGCAAAGACAGGGAAAAAGTATGATGGTTTTTTGAAAAAAAATCTTCATCGCTGAAGTTCATACCTGTGTTGTATTCTCAGAGAGCGTAGTGACGGAGTATGGTAGTGGAATCTTCGAAGAGTCACTCTAAACTTATAATAGATAAGAGGATTTTTGCTTATTAGCTAAAATATTGTTTGTTTCCATAAATCACATTTAAAAAGAGGTAGTTTACTTGCCTCATTTCCAGCGGAATCCCTTTGGCAGAAGTGAGCAAATTCTGTTTCTTTTTGATTGAGAAGTCTGCATGTACTTTCTTGGTTGGACTGTTGGAATGGAGCTGGACTGAATTGGGGGGTAGGAGTAGAAACTAAGCAACTTTCCTGAAAGGTTTACATGTTATAATTGCAAAATCCCTGGGTGAACACTGACCACATGTTCGTAGCCATCTCGGCCGCAAGTACAGGAAACTAAGCAACGTTGTTCTCCACAATGTAAGGTTCGCGAACGTTTTTGAACGAGTCGATCCTCAAATTCCTGAGGAGACGCTGCAGTAGACTGTGTACCTATCATATCTATGCCTGTACACGGCTCCAGCATGCGATTCTTCTCCGACACAGGCAATCGCCTTTTTCTTGCCCTTTCTGCAACTTCAGCCAAACGCGCAGATTTCTTCTCTTCGGTCTCTGCCAATCTTCTTTGTCTTGCTCTTTCTGCATCAAGTTTTAGACGCAAAGTACGTTCGTCTTTTGTCTCATTGGACTTCCTTGATGCTGCTCGTCCTCTCTTGGCTGCAAGGCGTAAATCACGATCGATTTGTGTTTCATTAGATCTTCTGTGTGCTTCTCGTTCAGCTTTGGTTAATGAACGGCGCACTGGCTCAGTTGAATCTGCCGCAGTTGAAGAAGAGGCATCCTCAGCGATCTGTTCTGGTGAATACATCTAGAAACCATTGCCTCACTTCTTAGGCTCGAAAGTTTTCTGACTTGAAGTTACCTGATCCACAATTGTTTCAAGCATATTCGTTGCTAAGTCTTTACTTCATCACCACTTGAGGGAGCTGTCTATAGCTACTTATTAGAGTTAAAGGGAAATCTATTTTTTACATCCACATGATTCTCAAGGCAACCCAATTTTACGGTTGAAATCGGAGTTGATCCGAGAGACAAAAAAGTGTGCTCCATCTATAACCCCGTTGTCATTTTAGATATCTCAAACCTGCGTTGCAGTTAGACCCTCCATATTTCTGAATTTGTAGTTGCTGCCGTTGCGTAGGCAGTAGCAGGCAGTAGCGCTGAACACAGCTGTGTGAATGTGTAGATCGAAGGCAGTTTGTATTTATAATACTACCCTATTGTATTTTTGGATTTATGTGAAAGTTGAGGAAATTTGAGCTTCATGCAAAGCTCAGCTGTACTATTTGATGCAACGTACAGTAAAGTGTTTAGGGAAACACGGTGTTTTTGAGAACATTCTTGAAAGAGAACAGAATTGGCGGGTGTGAGCATTTTTTTGCTTCGACGTTTTTTGTTTCAAGAAATTGCAGTTTGATATATCCTATTTGGAATGCAGATGGTAGAGACGAGTAAAATGCAAAAATTGCAATTTTTTGGAAAGGTCATGAAACTCAGCTTGACAGAGATTCAATTCTCAAGAAATCATTTAAACAGTTCATTGTGAAATTGGTTGAGATCCATAAAACTGAGTATACTTCGTAGCAAAAAATTGCAGCTCAATAATTTGAATACCTTTGCTCCAAAAGCATATTTACACAGGTTCTCGTTCACATGATTGAATTATCTCTTCTTAGAAAATGCTAAATGACAAAGGAATTGATGACTGACCTTTTCCGATGACTCGAGTAGCGGTAGTGCTGCAATGTGAAAAGATGTTACCGCTTACAGCTTTTAACTTTTAGGAGTTTGCACTTTGGAGGTTAGGTTTTTCATCAACATCGTCTAAATCGGACATCACTGGCATATGAGTCATCAGCCCTGTACTCCTGCAGCGGCATGTTACCGCTTACAACTTTTAAGTTTTGGCAGACTGCACTTTAGAGGTTAGGTTTCTCATCAACATCGTCTAGATCAGACATCACTGGCATATGAGTCATCAGCCCTGTACGCTTGCAGCGGCATGTTACCGCTTACAACTTTTAAGTTTTGGCAGACTGCACTTTAGAGGTTAGGGTTTTCATCAACATCGTCTAGATCAGACATCACTAGCATAGTGATGTCATCAACCCTGTACGCCTGCAACGGCACGCAACGACAAACCTGTTGACGTCTCACGAGGGGGGGGAAGCTTCAGAGAGACACCGTGCGCTTTATTATAGAGAGAGATAGCTGGCTTACCCGGCTCCGCCGTATGTTCCGAATAGAAAATTCCATTTCTTAACCGATCCGAACCAAACTTGGCACACATACACTTCGGGCCCCGGCAGGTGTCACAGTCCACTTTTCGTTATCGATTGATGTCGATTTTATCGATTTTTTGCAAAATTTGAGCTAGGGGGCTGGGACTTGGCACAGAGGGGTAATCGAGCATGCTGATTACGAATACAATATTAGTTTTCGAAACCGTGCATTACTTTTATCGATTTTATCGATTTGTTTGCAAAATTTGAGCTAGGGGGCTGGAATTTGGCAGGGGGTGTAATCGAGCATGCTGATCACCCCCCTTGGGGATGATCAGCATGCTCGATTACCCCCCTGTGCCAACTCCCAGCCCCCTAGCTCAAACTTTGCAAAAAATCGATAAAATCGATATCGATCGATACGAAAAGTAGCCTATGACACCCGCCGGGGCCCGAAGTGTATGTGTGCCAAGTTTGGTCCCGATCGGTTCAGAAATGGAATTTTCTATTCGGAACATACGTACATACAGACATACAGACATACAGACAAACAGACATTCAGCTTTATAGACTAGCGACCCTACGGGTCGCTAGCAAGTGGGTTGGGGCAGATACGCTGATACATACGTTCGGAAGCCATTGTGAATAGGTTTGAACTCATTTCATTTTGAAGAGGTAGCTTCAGTCTTCTACTCTTACATACTAATTAGTCAAAATTTTTTATCATCGAAAAATGACAATTATGCCCTTATATGGTCGGAACTCTGACAATCGCTTTTTTCTTTCAAGTTTGGTTCTTAGCCAATAGTGAGTGCACGAATGAATTATATGGCGGTCAAATATATAATTCTTTGGATACATGGCGAACTACAACGGAGATTGTGATCTGCTCTGCAGCCGAAGATGGAAGAATTTCAGGCATTTGCGTGTGGAAACAGTTTTTTGAGCATTCAAAATCGTTTGAATCTGACCATCTATGATCGCAGGAGTTGTTGGAAATTCCAGAATTTGGTGTGTGAATGGCAGTTGTGCATTTTACACTCAGCTTCGACTCGTTTTCGGAGCATTAGTTTCCGAAAATCAGATGAAAAAATGTAACTATCTCACTTTCCTCACAATTTCATTGTCAAAATATTAGGTGGCGCTCAAATAGAGTAGACCATCCAATTCCCCCTGATTTGCGCTTTCCAGTGGTACCATACATTGTTAGATAAATCAAGTTGTAACTTTGCTACAAACGTTAAAACGACCGAACTTATTTTTTTAGCCAAACTGATAGTACAAACAAGATATTACGCTCTGAAAGAACAAGGTTTCAGTAGTGGGAAATCATCTTCCCATCTTTACTACCATCATCGCAGAAATCCTATTCCCTAAACCTACCAATTCCTAGATCTAATCACTGGAAATCAGCAAAGATATCTCTCTAATAAAGGAAAGCTGCTTTAGATCAAAGACCAAATTGATTTCATGGACAATGCTATGCCTTGAAAAGCTTAAGCTTGTTCTTTGAGAGAGAAGACCAAAACTACAGATACAGTGATATTTTCCGCCAGCGCGACCAAGTAAGCCCTAGTCTTTCCTCCTTTGAGGACAAATAGGGAACTCTTAGAGTGTAAGATCTCAAATGCACCTTTCTGCAAAGTTTTACAAGGCTAAGAACTGTTAAGAAAAAGTGTTCTGTCGCATAAAGTCCCTATCTTTCGTGGAGCAAGACCTCGGTCTTTCCTCCAGCGAGACCAGGCCTTGTAGGCTCTCTATTTGGTGGCAAAGGTAAGACGTTCGTAAAACAGAAAATCTCAAAAGTATCTCTCAGCAAGGTTTTTTAAAGCCAAATGCTAAAAAAGTTTCCCTTCGAACTAAGTCCCTGGTATTTTCTGCCAAGTTGACCAAGTTTGCCTGGCTCTTTTCCTTTTTGGAGACAAAAGCAGGACGTTATAAGATTATAGATTGTCAAAAGTATCTTTCAACGAAGTTTTTCAAAATTTATCTCTCATGCGTAGATTCTTAGAAAAAGTGTCGCATAAAGTCCCTGGTCTTTCTGCCAGCAAGACCAAATTCGCTCTGCTCTTTTCTCTTTGGAGGCAGAAGTAGGGTGTTACTTAAGTGGAAGAACCCCAAAAAACTCGCGCCAAATTCTTATAATTTCAAATGCGGAACACAGAATGTTTTAAAAAGTGTCCTCCTGCGTGAAGTTCCCGGTATCTGCTGCCAGCAAAATCAAGTTTTTCCCAGTTTTTGTCTTGCAGGCAAAAGTAGGATGTTTTCGGAGTAGAAAATGTCAAGAATATCATTCAGTGAAAGTTTTTTTATTTATCTGTGAAGCGTAGGAGTTTTTAGAAAAAGTATCCTGTCGCATAAAGTCCTTGGTCAATTCTGCTAGCAGGGCCCTGCTTTCCTTTTGGAGGCAAAAGAAGGAGGTTCTTAGGGTATTAAATCTCAAAAATATTTCTCGGCAAAGTCTCTTAAGCCCAAGAATTACTCTGAGAAAAATTGTCCTGTTAGATAAATTTTCTGCTCTTCTCTGCCAGCAAGACCAAATTCGCCCTTATTTTCTCTTTTATAAGCAAAGCAGATTTCTAGAATAGTCAACCTCGAAAGTATATTTCGGCAAAGTCTTTTGAATTTCTGTGAAGCTTAGGAACTCCTAGAAAAAGTAGCTTTAAATTCCTAGATCTGCCAGCGACCAAGTTTGCCCCTATTCTTTTTTCTTTTAGAGTCAAAAGTAGAATGTTCTTAGAGTATCTTGAGGCTAAAAATTGTTTAAAAAAAAAGTGTCCTGTTGCAGAAATTGCTCGGTCTTCCCTGCCAGTAAGACCAAATTTGCCCTGCTCTTTTCTCTTTCAAAGGCAAAAGCAGGTTTACTATGAGATAGGCAACCTCAAAAGCATCTTTCGGCAAATTTTTTTTTGATATTATCTGTGGAGCTCAAGAACTTAAAAGTGTCTTGACGCATAAATTCCTTGATTTGAAAGCGAGACCAAATTGGCTTTGCTCTTTGCTCTTCTAGAGTCAAAAGTAGGATGCTCTCAAAGTAGAAAAAGTCAAAAGTATCTTTCGGCCCAATTTTCAAACCTAGAATTCTAAAGCCCCTCAGCGATCTCCTCCCACGACAGCAAAATTCGCTCAATGCTTGCGTACAAAGCACATTTACTGAAATGAAACCAAACTCTACTCCACAAATATCGTTGCATTGGAGCCAAAATCAATTTTGAATGCTCGCGAACTGTAACTCCCCACAAAACCTGACGAAAGGCTCACTTTGCCGCTAAAAAGGTTCAGGATATTCGAAGAAATGAGCTTTTTAGGAATTTCCCTGACCATTCAGGAAAAAAGGGATGAAACCTTTCAACGAAAGTCCACTCCACAACATCGTTTTTCACCGGCCTTGGAACCAAAATCAATTCTGAATGCTCGCGAACTCACATTCCCCTCAAAACCCGACTGAAGGCTCAGCCCGCCGCTAGGAAGGTTCAGAAATATTCGAAAAAAAGCTTTTCTTGAATTTCGCTGACCATTCGGCAAAAGAAAAGATGAAATTTTTCAAAGCGAAACTTCATTCCACAAATATCATTTTCCGCCGGCC